TTTTTTATCCATGTTAGTTTACCCAATAAAAGACCCAAGAACCACTCAAAATAGAGGGTTACTGAATAAAATTCTAAGTGCAGAGAAAGAGGAAGATGGTTACATGAGAACAAGTAGGATAGATTTTGGTTGAGCCAAGAGACCAAGATTGTAGTTGTCAGGGAAGCACTCTCTCGGGAGTTCTACAAAGTAACAGTTCTAGAGAAGAAGCTGTATGAATGGGACTTGCTTTTTGAAACAGGTCTAGCAATAATTGAGCAGTACTAAAAACGACCAACACCAGATGACATGAGAACAATCTACCCCATAGGTTAAATAAAGGTTTTTGCTCGAAACTCCCTGAAATTTCCCAGGTCAACATAAACTTGAACAAGACTGAATATCATAAGACTGAAACATTGTAATAGTAACAAAAAAAATGAGGATATTAGGCTGAATTTGTGAATTTCATGGCATAGTGAAATCAATCACTGAACCGGGAAGTAGACTTAGTTCATCTAATACAAGACCCAAGAGCCACTCAAAGTAGAGAGGCACTGAATGAGATTTTAAGGAAGAGGAAACTAATAAGTAGAAGTATTATAAGGATGAGTGGAATGCATATCAGTTGAGCCTGGACGTAAAGAGACCAAGATTGTTATTGTTAGGGAAGCACTCTCTTGGGAGATTCTTCGACGCAGTAATAGTTCTAGCTATTTGAAACATGTCTTGGTTGTTTTTATTATTGCTAGACAAGATATGCCCTTACATGAGAACAATCTACCCCGATGGATTAAATATAGGGGTAGCGGAAGTAGGATCTAAGTGGGTATTATTATCAGGAGTAGGATAGATATCGGTCATTCTGGATTTAAAAGGAGCCATAGTAGCTGTCAGGAAGCACTCTCTCGGGAGTTGTACAGTTCTAAAGAAGAAGATGTATGAATGTAACTTGCTTTTTGAAACAGGTCTAGCAATAATTATACAGTACTAAAAACGACCATGACCAGATATCCCCTGACATGAGGACAATCTACCCCGTGGGTTAAATATAACGTTCCCTTTGAAAATCCCTGAATTTACCTGGATTGACATAAACTTGTACAAGGCATAACTATCGAAACGTTGTGATAATAGCAAAAAAGACAGGAATATTAGTTTGAATTTGTGAATTTCATGGTATAGTGAAATCAACCACTGACCCGGGAAGTACAGACTTAGACTTAGTTCATCTAGTACAAGGCCTAAGAGCCACTCAAGGTAGACGGTTACTGAGTGAAATTGTAAGAGAAGGAGAAAGGACAAGTAAGGGAATATTTTGAAGATGATAGATATCAGTTGAGCTGGGACTTAACCTTTACCACGCTAATTTCTTTCTAGAGTTATTCCCTCCCATCATTTTTTTTTTGAGGGTGCAAATCATGAGCGCCTACTTTTTTCTAAAATTGTCATAACTTTCTTTGTATTGTGCGTAGAGATTTTAATTTTTGTACAGCAATAAAAGAATGGATGAGTAATATTCCGATGTAATGCATTATGTAATGCATTACGTTTTGCTTGCATGTTTTGACGTTGAAAACAAAACAAAAAATTGATTCGCAAAATAAAAAAAACAAATACATTAAAAAATACAGAAATAATTCAAAGAACTCCTAATAATTCCTATTACTCCTTGTGGAGTTCTGGGGGTGCAATAAGAAGCAAGATCGCTAAGAAGGCTTTCATTTTGTCAAAAATGTGACGTGTTTTCTCGTGTTTACATACAAGAAGGCACCAGCATTTGTTTGCTATTTCTTTCACCTGGCTCTTATTTATTTGTCTCATTAACGAATAGAGTTATTATTTCGTCGTTTATAAATAGACAAAATAATTCATCTACAGAAAAGCCGTCAGGTATATCGATGGTCATCAATAGTTTCCATAAAAATAAAATTAGTCAGGCATGGATTGATAGTAGCCGCTAGTGGTCATTATCACATTCTTTCATGTCACTAGCATGGCTATCATCTTCGACCACTTCACCATCAATATCTACTCGAGTAAAGCCTTCAAAATCATCATCGGAATCCTAATCAAAGAAAAACTCCTGAATAAATGCTTTGTTTACAAAAAATCATATAAAAATTAACGTGGGTTTAATTGTAGAGCCTAAAAAAATTCAAAATGGTGGAAAAACAGAAGTTTAGCCTTGTTCCAAAGCAGTAATAGTCGATTTCCCGCTTAAAATACCGGAAGTAAAAGTTGACAAGTGTTTCTTTCTAGCAACCATCTCAAGATGTCAGAATGTGGTAGAGCAGCAAAGGGAGAGAATTCTAGGGCGACAATTTTTGCTTGCAGTGTGGTAAAGATTAAAGAGACCAAGATTGTAGTTGTCAGGGAAGCACTTTCTCTAGATAGATAGATAGGTCTAAACAGAGATGGTCAGCTCCGAAAATAGGTATGAACATACATAAATATATATTTAGAATTAATGTAGAGAAAATTGTCACTTAGCTGAGTGATGTTGGTTCAGTCAGGCCAA